ACCATTAAATCCTGGCAGAGGACCCAACCATATACAGTTGTGAGTAACGCGTTGTGGGTGCCGCTGGCTCCCTCCCTATGGGACACGAAACGCTGTCTTGGGTGTGGCTGATGCATGTGGCCACCCCCATTGGGGCTTTAGGTGGAGCTCCTTATGGGGTCACGAAGCGCTGTACTGGGTGTGGCTGACGCATGTGGCCACCCCCACTGGGGCCGCAGGTGGCGCTCCCTATGGGGCCACGAAGCGCTGTACTGGGTGTGGCGGACGCATGTGGCCACCCCCACTGGGGCCTGAGGTGGAGTTCCCTATGGGCCAGGAAGCGCTGTACTGGGTTTGGCGGACGCATGTGGCCACCCCCACTGGGGCTGGAGGTGGAGCTTCCGTATGGGGCCACGAAACGCTGTACTGGGTGTGGCGGGCGCATGTGGCCACCCCCACTGGGGCCGCAGGTGGAGCTTCTTATGTGGCCACGGAACGCTGATTTGGGCGTGGCTGACGCATGTGGCCACCCCCACAGGGGCCGCAGGTGGAGCTCCGTATGGGGCCACAACGTTGTATTGTTTGTGGCGGACGCATGTGGCCACCTCCACTGGGGCCTTAGGTGGAGTTCCCAATGGGGCCAGGAAGCGCTGTACTGGGTGTGGCGGACGCATGTGGAGAGCCCCACTGGGGCCGCAGGTGGAGCTTCTTATGTGGCCACGAAGCGCTGTACCGGTTGTGGCCGACGCATGTGGCCACCCCCACTGGGGCCGCAGGTGGAGCTTCTTATATGGCCGCGGAACGCTGTACTGGGCGTGGCTGACGCATGTGGCCACCCCCACAGGGGCCGCAGGTGGAGCTCCGTATGGGGCCACGAAGCGTTGCACTGGGTGTGGCGGACGCATGTGGCCACCCCCACTGGGGCCTCGCGTGGATCTTCCGATGGGGCCAGGAAACGCTGTACTGGGTGTGGCGGACGCATGTGGCCACCCCACCTGGGCCCTTAGGTGGAGCTTCCTATGGGGCCACGAAGCGCTGTACTGGTTGTGGCGGGCGCATGTGTCCACCCCCACTGGGGCCGCAGGTGGAGTTCCCTATATGGCCACGAAACGCTATACTGGGTGTGGCGGACACATGTGGCCACCCCCACTGGGAGGGGGGGGCAGCGGGAGGAGGAGGAGGAGACGCGGGGAGCGTTTCTTCAGAACGAGGGCCCAGCATCACAGGAAGGTTGGGAGTGAAACAAATCAAGCAACACATATGTTGGCGAAGGACCCTAGCATATGCAGTTGTGAGTAACGCGTTGTGGGTACAGCTTTCGGTGGAGCTCCCTATGGGGCCACGAAGCGCGTGAGGGACGTGCCGTAATGGGCGGGGGACGCATGAGGGCGGTGCCACTAGGGCCTTGGGTGGAGCTTCCTATGGGGCCACGAAACGCTGTACTGGGTGAGGCGGACGCATGTGGCCACCCCCACTGTGGCCTTGCGTGGAGCTCCCTATGGGGCCGCGAAGCGCTGTACTGAGTGTGGCGGACGCATGTGGCCATCCCCCACTGGGGCCTTAGGTGGAGCCTCCCTATGTGGCCAGGAAGCGCTGTACTGGGTGTGGCGGACGCATGTGGCCACCCCCACTGGGCCTTTAATTGGAGCCTCCTATGGGGCCAGGAAGCGCTGTACTGGGTGTGGCGGCCACCCCCAGTGGGGCCTTAGATGGAGCTTCTGATGTGGCCACGAAACGCTGTACTGGGTGTGGCGGACGCATGTGGCCACCCCCACTGGGGCTGGAGGTGGGGCTTTTCATGTGGTCACGGAACGCTGTACTGGGTGTGGCGGGCGCATGTGGCCACCCCCACTGGGGCCTTAGGTGGAGCTCACTTTGGGGCCACGAACCGCTATACTGGTTGTGGCGGACGCATGTCGCCACCCCCACTGGGCCTTGGGTGGAGCTTCCTATGGGGCCACGAAACGCTATACTTGGTGTGGCGGACGCATGTGGCCACCCCCACTGGGGCCGCAGGTGAAGCTCCCTATGGGGCCGCGAAGCGCTGCACTGGGTGTGGCGGACGCATGTGGCCACCCCTACTGGGACCTTAGGTGGAGCTCCCAATGGGGCCACGAAGCGCCGTACTGGGTGTGGCGGACACATGTGGCCACCCCACCTCAGCCCTTAGGTGGAGTTCCCTATGGGGCCACAAAGCGCTGTATTGGGTTTGGCGGGCGCATGTGGTCACCCCACCTGAGCCCTTAGGTGGAGCTCCGTATGGGACCACGAAGCGTTGCACTGGGTGTGGCGGACGCATGTGGCCACCCCCACTAGGGCCGCAGATGGAGCTCCCTATGCTATGGGGCCACGAAGCGCTATACTGGGTGTGGCGGACGCATGTGGCCACCCCCACTGGGGCCTTGCGTGGAGCTCCCTATGGGGCCACGAGGCGCTGTACTGGGTGTGGCGGACGCATGTGGCCACCCCACTGGGGCCGCAGGTGGAGCTCCCAATGGGGCCACGAAGCGCTGTACTGGGTTTGGCGGACGCATGTGGCCACCCCCACTGGGGCCTTAGGTGGGGCCCCCTATGGGGCCACGAAGCGCTATACTTGGTGTGGCGGACGCATGTGGCCACCCCCACTGGGAGGGGGGGCAGCGGGAGGAGGAGACGCGGGGAGCGTCTCTTCAAAACGAGGACCCACCACTGTCACCCTTCACTCCTGCGTGCAGCTGGCGCGTGCGCGGGGCCGAGGAAGACAGAGGGAGATGGCGCCGGGCCTTCCCGAGCCACCGCGGGCTCCGAGAGCGAGGCCGAGAGGCTGGAGGAGTTCGTGCGCTGGACCGCGGGGTTCACGGGAGCGGCGACCTGCGGCCTGCTTTTCCAGCGCTGTGACTTTGGCATTGGCGCCTTTGCCGGGCGAGAGCTCCTCCCCGGGGAGACGGTGCTCCAGGTGCCGTTCTCGCTCTGCATCACCGCGAAGTCTGTGGCCTGCGAGCCGTGGTTTGCTGCGCGGATAGGTGCTGGTCTCAAGGCCCTGGATCACCCCCGATATTCCCAATTGCCTTCTTTAATTGGATCTCTGGGGCCATTGATCATGCCGATTCGTGTGCGGATTTGGCTCTACTTGATTCATGCTCGACTCGACAACAGGTCGCCTCACCATGTCTACGTTCGGCTTTGCCCAGCTGAATACGATGACCCACTGTGGTGGTCCGAGGAGGAGTTGGCGGAACTATGCGGCAGCAACTTGCTGGCGGCAGCCCGCAGTGAGCAGCGAATGATTGCACGGCTCTTTGACGTGCACGTGAAGCCGCTCACTACAGCTTGCCCGGAGATGTTTCCCCCTCACGTGTTCAGTTTGCCAGGGTTGCTGTGGGCAAGGTCTCTGTGGGCGAGTCGCGCGTTTCCCCGCTTCCTGGCAGGAGCAGACTGCCCAACCAAAAGCAAGGGCTTTGTAGGTGACAGTGCACCCGGTGCTCTGCTGCCCGGCATCGATTCCTTCAACCATAAGCGAGGTGCCAACATGGAATGGTTGATCGGACGAGCAGGCACTGGCGTATCCCTGCGTATGCCCAGCGACACGCCCAGGACGGCAGCCGTTGGAGAGCAGCTGTGGATCAACTACGGGCCTAAGTCCGATGAGGAATGGTTGTTCAACCATGGCTTCTTGCTGGACAACAACTCCGAGCACAACCGAGTTGAGCTGGTCTTGCTTTGTGAAGGGCCCCTCAAGCACCTGCGCCAGGCAGCACGACTCGCGAAGTCCCTGGACTCCGCCGCCGTGGTGCACCACGAGGCAGGCCGGCGTGACGAAGCCGCCCTGCGAGTGGGGCCGTTCCTGCTGGAAGACGTCGGTGCAGTTCCCGGTGCAGGGGTCAGGCAGCAGCTGCCAGAGGCTCTTGTGACGGTGGTGTCCTTCCTGGTTGCAGCACTGCACGGCCAGGGAGCGCACGCGGGCCCAGGGTCGTGGCTGGCGGAAGCGCTGGAGCGGCAGTGCGCCAGTCTGCAGACGCCGGCCACGGCACGTCTTTCGGGCACTTCGCGCCCGGCCAGGCGGCAGGCCTGTGCTCGGGCGTACATGGCCAGCCAGAGGATGATCTTGACCAATGCAGCAGGCTACCTGCGTGCCCTGAGCGAGCGGGAGGCTGCCGAGCTGTTTGCGCTCCCTTCTTCGTGTGCGCCTGGTGAGGCCGGCGAACATCTGGTGGCAGAAGGCAGGCGACCATTGCGCGTTGTGTTTGCGGAGGACGACGCTGCAGATGCAGGACACGGTGGCGATGAGGACGAGCAAGCGTCGGAGGAAGACAGCTCTGATGATGGTGATGACGATGACGATGATGATGATGGCGATGATGATGCCACTGGCGCTTCGTCGAGCAAGGCCGAGACTGGTTCTGATAATGATGCAGACGGAGCCTTGCCGCCGCAGGATCTGGATAATGCAAGACGGAACTCAGATGCGCCTGAGAGCGTGCCCAACGCATCAGGTGATGGGGAGGTCCTAGATACCACGGTCAGTGATAAAGTGGAGAAGAACTTTGTGCTGTTTGGGGATGGCTGCGCAATCCGGGTGGCCTTCGAAACTATCTGAGGACGAACCTCCCTCTCAGGATGGGACGCTTAGCTTCCAGAGTCGCACCGCTTGTTGTGGAGTGAGTAGCACGGGTTACTCACGCATTTGGTGCCATATTGTACTGTCTTCGTTGGATTGGCTCGCGTTGCTCGCCAGAGTTATATAGGTACGGGCCCGAGGTCCAGAATATTCTTGGAGGCCAGAGCAGTTTCGAGCGCCGCTCTCACAATCCAGTCTCGAAGGCCAGAACAGTCTGTGTCCGCCACCAAAGGGAGTCTGCGTGCGGGGATCCGCTATCTCCTTCGCTTGTCCTCTGCATCTCCAGGACCCCCAGCCGCCACTGCGAGTCGTCCAGCGAGAGGGATCTTGCGCAGATACCTGACGCGAGTCCCTGGAGTCCCATTGCGAGCCGCGCTTGGATCATCCTGAATTTCGTGGGAGGAAGAACCACCCCGACCCCGTGCATTGCGCTTACCAAACACTCGTGGGCGTGTCTGCCTCTTCGATTCACTTTGTTCGTTGCGTTTACGACGGGGCTTCGCTCATAGGGGTGCTTATTCTGACGGTGGTTCTTCTGCCGCCTCGAACTGGGACTGCATCGAGGAGGCGTGGGGCGGCTGCGAGAGGGAGGGGCTGGAGGGAGGGAGGTGGCGCGAACCCCGGTACCTTCACGGTGAGCCAGCATTTCGGGGCTCAAGAGACGGGGGTCATTGAAAACGGGGGTCAGCCAGAGCGCCGGATCTTACAGGATCCTGCAGAGCCAATGGTGCATTGACCCGGGCTTGCGTGCAGGATCCTGGAAAGCCCGACCGACCCGAGTCTGCATTGACTTGGGTCGGTGTCTCCCCGAGCTTCTTTGCTTGGCACAGGGCTTCTGCCCCAGCTTCTGTTGCGCTTGCTCTGAGACTGCCCCTGTGCACTACGGTAGAGGGACACATTCACTGCACACTCCCCCTCCCTCCCAAACTCAAATTTGGCGGCACACGCGGGGGAAAACTGCGGTCGAGGTTGGGAGGAGGGGCAGGCGTGGACAGACGAATGTGGCAGGAGTGTTCGCTGTTTCCTTCCGAGGCCTGTGGGCCCGTGCTGTGCCGGCGCGTCGGCGGAGCGGCCGCCCCCCCGCGCGGGTGTTCGAGGGGGAGAGTGCCGCCCGGGTGCCCCGGGAGCGGGCCCGAGGTCACACGGCGCGCGCTGCTTGCGGGGGCGCCGCGCTCTCGCTCCCAGGGCCCAGCGATCCGCACGGTGTGGCAGGAGCGTGTGCCCAGTCCATCCACGCGCAGGAGGGGGGGGGCAGGGTGAAGTCGGGCCTGTCCCTCTACAGGAGGAAGATTCCAAAATGGCCACAAGATAGTCAGGGGACGATGTTTCGACTATTCATGACTATTGGCGGGTATTTTTGGCATTTTTGTCCCTACCTAGGCTCTGCCTAGGAGAGTTCTTTCTCGGTATGCTTAAAGGGCCGGGCAGTGGAACCCGCCCCGGGCGGTTCCCCAAGTATCCGCCCCGCGGTTCCCCCAGTTGCGCCCCCTGGGTTCACCCAGCTTAGCTTAGCTAAGCTAAGTTTAGCTTAGCTTAGCTGATCTCATCTTAGCTTAGCTTAGCTTCGCTTAGCTTAGCTTCGCCTTGCCTAGCCTAGCTTAGCTTAGTTTAGCTTAGCTTAGCTTAGCTTATCTCATCTTAGCTTAGTTTCGCTTAGCTTAGCTTAGCTTAGCTTAGTTTAGCCTATCCTAGCTTAGCTTAGCTTAGCATAGCTTAGCTTAGCTTACCTTCACTTAGCGCAGCGCAGCATAGCGCAGCGCAGCATTAGCACAGCAAAGCATAGCACAGCATAGCCAATCATTCCATATCATAGCATAGCATAGCTCAGCATAACATAGCATATCATAGCATAGCGCAGCATAGCTTCAGCTTAGCTTTAGCTTAGCTTTGTCTTAGCCTTATCTTAGCTTTAGCGCAGTTTAAACTTAGCTGTGCCTTAGCTTTAGCTTAACTGTAGCTGTAGCTTTAGATTTACCTTAATGTTACCTTAGTTTTAGCTCAGCTTTAGCTTAGCCTTAGCTTAGCTTTAACTTATGTTTAGCTTAGCGTCACCTTAGCGTCAGCTTAGCTTTAGCTTATCTATAGCTTAGCTCCAGCTTAACTTTAGCTTAGCTTTACCTCTTAGCTTTACCTCCTAGCTTTAGCTTAGATTTAGCTTATGTGTAGCTTAACTTTAGCTGAGCTTTAGCTTATCGCTACCTTAGCTTTAGCTTAGCTTTAGCTTAACTTTGGCTTAGCTTTAGCTTAGCTTTACTGTTACTACTAATGCTGCTTTCCTAAGGGCTCCAACTCCTAGGTAGGGTCGCACTGGGATACTTATCGTTCGTCCAAAATCCGCCTGTAGGAGGACATGCTCGACCTAAGGGTAGGGGAAGGGGGGTGGAGGCTTTTTAGAAGCACCCCTGCTTCTTAGAAGAGGCGGACCTTGTACTGTGGATGTAGGACTGGCGCCTTCTAAGAAGTGGCCTCCTTTAAGAAGCCTTCCCCCCTCCCCCCACTCTCTTGTGCGCGCCGCCAACGCAAGTTGTCACGACACGAGCCCACAGTGGCCCCCCGGATGTCTAGACCACTTCTCCAGGACCGGCCTTCCTTCCCGAGTTGTATTTTGACGGTCCTGGAGCCTGGTGAGGCCCCTGGAGGCCGAAGGTGATGAGGAGCCCTCCGTCGAACCAGTGCGATTTGGACTTTTGTGCCGATGCAGTCCGATCCGACGCACAATCCGACTCGGTCCGATTTCACGATTCCATGCTGGTTAATCCTGCATGACAAGCGGTGCTTGTTACTAGTTTCTGTGTGGCGTCAAGGAGAGGGGCCCCTTGCGTCATCGGCGGCGCCTGTCCCCGGGCGGCTTGTGGGTTTACATCCCCGCCTGACGCCGTGGGAGTGTGAGCATTCTCTGGTTGACGAACAACAGGCGGCGTAAACACAAACTTTCGCAGGTCCGCGCAGATTTCTGGGATCGGCGCTGGTCCTGGCGGCGCCTCCGCCGCTGCCCCTGGCGCGCTCCACGCGCCAAGAAGGTTGGTCCAACGCCGATCCAAGAAGTCCGTGCGGATCTCCGTCCTCCTCATCCTCCTCTTTTCCTTTTCCTCGTCCTGCTCCTCCTGTTTCCTCTTCCTCCTCTTTCCGATGTTTATGTTTTTTGTTCTATGGGTTCAGCATGGAGGAAGAGGGGTCCTGGAGTTTCTTTTGGTTTCGGGCTCTTGTATGGCTCTTCCTGGGCCCAGGGGCCGTCAACACGCTGGCCCGGGATGGAGCAGATGGGCTCTGGAGGATGTTCCAGGGACCATCAGCCACGCGCAGAAGGGGGGTAATCAGGGGAAGAGGGGAAGGCTTCTCTGAAGGAGGCTGCTTCATAGAAGACGCGGGCCTTGCCTGTAGATGACATGTAGATGTGAGGCTGGCGCCTTCTAAGAAGCAGCCTCCTTCGAAGAAGCCTCCCCCCCTCCCCCTACCCACTTGTGCGCGCCGCCAAGGCCAGGACTTGGTGTCCTCCAGGACGTTCCCCATCGGACGCGCCCCCCCCCCCCCCCCCCTTGGCGAGCCCGCCCAGCTGGCCACTCCTCGATTCTCTCGCAAGGCATGGCCCTTCTTATTACCTCCAGGGCGCAAGCGCATGCAGACCCCCTTCCCCTCCCTTGACTCGGCGGCGGGGCCGAGGGGAAGTGAGAAGGGGCGGGCCTTCTCAGAAGGCTCGGAAGTCCCCAGGCCCTCCTGAGAAGCATTTTGGGCGTTCCCCGAAGACGCAGCAAAACCTTTCAGAAGGCCGGAGAGCTTCTCAGAAGCCCCGCCAGCTTCTGAGAAGGCCTTCTCGCCCACACTTGCCCCCCTCGCTCGCCGCCGATGGAGGGTAACGACCGAAAGCCGCTCACACGCGTGCGTTGGTGCTCACAGCCATGTCGTGGCGTTCGCGAGCACCCGCGGTGCCGCGAGCACCCGCGGTGCCGCTCTGCGGTGTGTCCTGCCCGCAGGCGCCGCGCGGTGATGCAGGGGCCACGCGTTCTGCGGTGTGTCCGCGCCGCAGCTGCCATTACCGTCCCCCCCCGCCCCGCTGTTTCGGTAGCAGGTCACTCGCGTGCGTCCTCGCAATGCCGCCTGTAGAGTTCATGAGCGTGCCCTGGTGCCCGGCAGTCCATGGGAGAGTGCCGATTGAGCGTTGATCAGCGTCAGTTTAGCGTCCACTCGCGTCGATTAGTGTCGACTGGCGTCGGGCAGCGTCGATTCGCAAGAGGCAGCAAGATGGCATGGGAGGCTCACATGAGTTGCCACCGAAGGCTGCTCGCCCGTCCCCCCGGTTGCTCCCCCGAGTGACTTAATGGGCGAAGAGCGGTACCCCATAAACCTTCTCGTCGTAGTGGGCGCCCGTCCTGGAGCGGCTGGAAAGTCCATACCCCTACGGTGGCACGTCAGGATATGAAATTTTTTTTAGCTGCTCTGGGACAGGCGCCTCCGGTGATGGAGCAGTTCATTTTATACCGTTCTTCGCCCGCTAAGTTTAAATCGGGCCTGTCCCTCTACTGGAGGCATGTTGAAGAATAGTTTGAAAGATAGTCTGAGGACGATTTCTCTACTATATTTGATTTTTTTTGTGGAGTATCTTCGATTGCCCGCCTGTGGGGGGACGTGCCCGACCTGACGCCAGGTGAAGAGGCGGCCTCCCTCGAGCGAGCGTAGACGCGCTCCGGAAGGGGTCCACGCCGGACGCGCAGCACCGCAGGCCGCCGGCTACCGATTCCCGGGCCTCGCCCTGCCCAGCGGTTTGTCTTGCTCGAGGCCTGCCGAGGCGCCGCCCTCCTGGCGCGGCCGTGCGGCCAAGACGCCGAGCTGGGGACCGCTCCTGGACACGCCACGATGGCGATGGCGATGGCGATGGCGATCGCCATCGTCATCGTCATCGTCACCGCTCCAGTCAGTCGGAATCGGAGAGGGTACTGATATACCCCTACCCTTGGCCCGTTTGCGGCCTCCTAGGAGGCCCTCGTCGCCACCGCTGGATTCGCTTCGAAATTCTGGTCAGAACGCACCCTGGGAGAGGTCCTGGCAGGCGGAGCAGACTATTGCATAACTGGGCGGGGCTAGAGGACAAGGATACGTTGTTCTGGAGCGCTCCTGAACGCTCTCGGAGCGCTCGGGAACGCTTATATAGAAGGCCGCGGCGCCCGATGCATCCTCCAGAACCGCTGGCTCTGAAGGACTCCCGATGTATATCCCTGTCGGATACTGTCCCTGTTCTGGCTTCGCCTGGGAGGACCCAGACATCAGGCTGCTCCAATTTTTCCGATGCGCGGGCCCCAGAGGTCTGGACCACTTCCCCACGGCCGGCTTTCGTCCTGAGTCGTTTTTGGACGGTCCCCGGGCCTGGTGAGGGCCCCCAGGGGCCGAAAACAGTCAACACCGCCCGCTGCGATTTGTTTGGAGCAATGG